GAGGGCCGACGGACGGAGCGCCTGCCTGGCGGCGGGCAGGACCGGGGCCGCGCGGCGGGGCATGAGGCGGGGGCGCGATGTCGGTGCCGCTGCTGAAGATCGGGGCTGTGCTGAGCACCATGGCCATGGTCACCAACTGGATGTCGCAGACGCTGCCCTCGCTCGTGGGGCTCAACGGCACGGTGTCCCGCGCGGGCTCCTCGGAGAAAATCGTGAGTGGCCGCCGCGCAGGAAAGGGGGGCGCTCCCGGGGGGCGTGGTGCCACCCGTGTCGCCGGCGGGGCCCGGGGGCCCCTCCCCTTGGTACCCTTCAAAGTGCCCGGCGATCCGGGCAGGAGGTCTTGGGGGAACGCGGCGCGGAGGGAGCCCCGGGACCCCCGGCCGTCAGCGCGTTGCCTGGGTGACTGTCATCGATCAGGATCGGGATCGGCAGGGAACAGCGCCCCGGTGCCAGCCGCGGGCCGAGTCCGTTCCAGCCCCGGGCGGGGGCGGCCAGGGCTGCGGAACTGAGCCGAGTCCCAGCAGAGTGGGGCGGAGGGGGGGCGGGGGGCGGCCTCCGGGCGCGCGTGGCGGGGCCCCCCAAGGTCTCCGCCTGGGCCTCAGGGGGCTCTGGGTAGTTCCGTCTCTCTCGATCGCTCTCTATTTCCTCTCTCCCTGTCTCTGTCTCGCTGCTCCTGACTTTGTATCTCTTTTTGCCTCCCCCCGCAGCGGTCTGACCGTGTGCCCAGTATTTATCCCCAGAAGTCGCCCACCGGGGGGACCAGATGGGGCTCCCCCTGGCCCCGATTGCCCGCTCCCGTCCCCCCCCCGCCCTTCTCCCGTTTCCCTGGCTCCGAGCCCCCCCCCCCAGGCAGAAGAGGGGTCTCCCATTGGGGCCGTCGTGGCGGTGCTGTCGTCTTGGGGCTTCCTCCCCTTTGCACTTCCCCCAGCTCTCCTCGCCTGCCTTTCGCCTTTCTGGGAGCGCCCTCTCCTCTTCCAGTGCAGGGGCTGGGGCGCGACAGACATCCTCCCTTCCCTTTGTGTCCCCCCAACTTCTCCAGCACCCCCCCCCGCCCCGCTTAGTCCCAGTAGCCATCACTCCCCTTCTGTCTCTCCCCTCACTGGGGAAAAGAGACTTTGGGCCCAAGGGTCGCTCGCAGGCGAGTGTGGGGAGAGGTAGGAGGAGCGGGGGACAGCGTGCCACCCGCTGTGCCTGGCTGAGCCCGGCCCCTGGGGGCGGTGGCGCCGAGCTTGACACAAGTGTGAGCTTTCTGGCCAAATTCTCGGACTTGCAGCCAGCGTGTGAAACAACGTCTTTCCGTGTGTGTCACACGGAGCGGCGCTGTTTGGGTACGTTCTGGTGTGTGTGTGTCTTCGCGTGTATCTCGGTGTGTGTACTGGGGGCCGGAGCTGCGGCGAGTTCTGTGTGCATTGCCTGTGTGAAGGTCCAGCTGTGCGTGTGAGGGCACAGGCAGAACCGGTGTGGGTGTGTCCCCGCGTGAGCGTGTTCGGGCGTGGATGGAGCTGAGTGGGAGCCTCGTGGCACGTCCTTGGCTGTGGGCCTGTGTGTGTTCGCTGGTCCTGTGTGTGCGAGTGTGTTTGTATATGTGTGTGCATATTCCGTTACTGTTGTCCTGTGAGGGGGCAGAGAGATGGTGTTGCTGAAATCAGAAGCCGAATTCCCCTCCCCCGATGAGTGTGTCTGTGTGATGCGCTTGTGTTATGTGCAGGGGGGTGTGAGTGTGAGGTGCTAGAGGACTCGGTGACGGCCTAGGAGACGTGGCATGAGGTGCTCAGGAAAGGGTCTCCGGAGTCTGATAGATCTGTGTTAGAGTCTAGATTTGCCCTCAGTTTGCTGTGTGACTCTGGGTGAGTGACGGCAGTACTCTGACCTACAGTTGCCTCATCTTTTTTTTTTTTTTGAACTGGGAATTGAACTGAGGACCTCGTGCCTGCTAGGCAGGTGCTGTGCCCCTTTATTTGTCTTTGAGGGAGAGACTCACTGTATAGTTCAGCCTGCCCTTGAACCCACTGTGTTGCCTAGGCTATTCTCAAACTCACAGTGATCCTCCTGCCTCAGCTTCCCTAGTCCTGGGATCGCAGGCATGGGCCACCACACCCGGTAGTTTCCTCATCTTTAAAATGGAAGTAATTCCTACCTGGCAGAACTGTTGTGGGTAACAGAGACCCGTTGTCCAGGTCCCCATCTATCCATTCTGTTTCCCTCTGTCTCCATCTGTTCATTCTTCCATCCATCCATCCTTACTCATCCTTCCGTCTGTCTCACTATCTCTCCATCCATACATCCATCCATCTCACTATCCACGCATCCCACTATCCATCCAACCATCCATCCATCCATCCATCCATCCATCCATCCATCCATCTCACTATCCACATATCCCACTATCCACCCATCCTTACTCATCCTTCCATCTGTCTCACTATGTCTGCATCCATCCATCCATCCATCCATCTATCCATCCATCCATCCATCCATCCACCTCCATCCATCTTACTGTCTCTCCACCCATCCATGATTACATCCATCTCTCCATCCATCTCACTATGTCTCCATCCATCTATGCATCCATCCCCCCATGCATCCATCTCACTATCTCTCCATCCATCCGTTGCACTCACTATCCATCTGTCTTTGTTCATCTTTCCATCTGTCTCATCATCTATTGCTCCTTCCCTTGATCCATCTCATCATCTGTCTCCCCATCCATCTTCCCACCTATCCATCCATCCATGGCTCCGTCCATCCACCTCACCATCTATCATCTTACCATCCATCCATCATTCATCTCACCATCTATCCCTCCATCCACCCGTCACTCTCACTGTCTCTCCATCCATCTTTATTCATTCTGCCATCTATCTCACCAACTGTTGCTGTCTCCGTCCATCTCGTCTACCCGTCCATGCGTCTATACATTCTTTATATCGTCTGTGCATCTGTCCTTGCACCTGTTCTTTAAGGCGTCTACCTTGATGCCCATCCTGTTACCTTTCCTCTAACTCATCTACCTTCTCATCCATCCATCTCCCCACTCATCATCCATCACTTATCCTTTCATGGTTCCATCCATCCATCCATCTCTCTGCTCATACATTCACCAGTCCCTCTACCCATCCATTCTTTATCATCTACCATCTCATTACAATCTATGCATCCATCCTGCCACTCATCCATACCCTCACTCATCCACCCACTGAGTCAGCCATCCTTACCTTCATCTTTTTTTTTTTTTTGGTCTTTTTGAGACAGGGTCTCACTATGCAGTTCAGGCTGGCCTTGAACTCACTTTGTAGCCCAGGCTGGTCTCGAACACACAACGATCCTCCTGCCTCAGCCTCCTGAGGGCTGGGATTACAGGCGTGCGCCACCACGCCTGGCTACATCCATCTTATTTATTCAGCAGAACTACCAATGGCCTCTTTCAAGCACCTGTGTACTTGAAAACCCCGGGCTCACTGCATTTCATAAGAGATGCTCAAGTAGGGCTAAGATTTAGAGTGAAATATACCTGAATTTGAATTTTGATCCTGTAGTTTACCTGCTGTGTGACCTTACAGGAAATTATTTAACCTCTCTAAACTGGTTTTCTTATTAGTCAAGGAGAATTCAGTCTGCATTAGACTAAAAGATCCATGAAGAGGTCTGAGATTTGCTTAAGATCCACGAAGAAGTCTGAGATTTGCTTACTACCACCGAACCCTAAGGCCTGAAACAGAATAGACTTTTTTTGGTGGTACTAGCGATGCAACCCAGGACTTTCCTACTAAGCCATATCCATGGCCCTCATCTTCCTGTCTATCTGTCTGTCTGTCTATGTATCTATCTATCAAATTTGCAATCCTCCTGCCTCAGCCTCCCGAGCACTGGGATTACAGGTGTGCACCATCATGCCAGGTTCATGGTAGACTTAGGATAAATACAACAGTCACACTCTCATAAGAATTCCCAGGTTCCACCGCCAGATGGAAACAAATGGCTTAGTAGGTGTTCAGCAAGGAGAGGCCGTGTCATTCACCACCGCAGCCAAGCACACAGTAGGTGTGGTCTCAATGTTTGTTAGTGTCTAAATCAATTCCACGTCTCAGGGATTGCAGGGCAGAGTGGAAGTGACCAGGCACATAGTAAGTGCTCAGTAAGGAGAGGTAGGAAAACCTGAGCAGCGGGAGCTCCCGGAGCCCTGATGGCAAGATGAAGGACATGGGTGGCTTCAGGGGTGAGCGCAGACCCTCAGGTGGGCCTCTCTCTGTGTCCCGTTAGTCCCAGGAGCAGCTCAGCATCTTGGGGAAGGGGGAGGGAGGAAGTTGCCGCTGCTGCCACCTCTGGCCAGCTCCCAGCCATAAAGCATCCGCACCTGGGGGCCATAAATCTCGGCCCAGACTAAGCACCGCGGGCGGGCGGCCGGTGCTGCCCCCTGACAGGGATACAGTGAGCAACCTGCATCTTTGGGCTGGGTGCAGGGGGTTGGGGTCCTGTTTGGGGGGACGAGGAGGGTCTGAGCAGCTGTCAGCAAGAAGCTGTTTGCCGACTTCCCTGAGAAGAACCGAGACTCAGGACCTGTGTGTTTCCAGGACGGTGTTGGTGGGGAGCAGTTTCAAACCAGTCAAGAGAGGCTGAGTTGTGAGCCTGCCATCACTTGGGAGGCTGAGGCAGGAGGATCGTGAGTTTGAGGCCAGTCTGAGCTATGCAGCAACCCTGTCTTGAGAGAAAGAGGGGAGAGAAACACAGACAGAGGGGCTAATGCTGTGGTAATAACCTGAGCTCTCAGTGGCTTAACCTCTCCCCAGGCTGCTTTGTTTTTCCTCTTCCTCTTCCTCTCTCTCTCTTAAATTTTGAGACAGGGTCTTGCTATGTCACTAAATCACCCAGGCAGGGCTTTAATGAGCAACCCTCCTGCCACAGCCTCCCAGAGTGCTGGAATTACATGCATGTGCCCCTCACCTGGCTTATTTCTGGCTTCCACACTGCGCCCATCTTTGGCTGAGGGTTGGGGGGGTGAGCGCTGTCCATGGTGCCCCAGTAGGGACCCACGATGACGGAGGCTTTCTTGTGACAAGATCACTGAGGCAGAAAATGAACTGGAAGGTCACAGCAAACCCCCCCCCCAAGTCCCTAGAGCTCTGCGCAGGTGACTTAGATTCCTCTCAGCTGAAGCAAGTCACACAGCCAGGCCGAACTGCAAAGAGGGTTTCACCATGCCAGGGAGGACAGG